GTGTCAGCGCTGAGTGCTTCCAGTGCCTATTAGAGCTGCTGGCTTTGCATAGATGGGTGCCCTAGGCAAAGACATTTTTGGCACAGCCTGTCTCACCCGTAGGATCAAAAGGAACAAAAAAACAAAAAAAAAACCAAACCTGGCAATATGCACTGAGAGCAAATTGCATCCTAAAGAGCAGCCCCTAGAATGCAGTCTTGGAATGAATATCGATAAATGAACCATCATGCTTTATGGCTGAAGAGTTGTAAGTGTTTTGTGACTGCTCCCAATTTCCCTCCCTCCTTTCTCTGCTTTTGTCACCTATATTTTCTCTTTTCTTTTGTAATCACCTTCATAACTTGTTCCTTTCTGAGAATCTTAAGGAACTGGTTTGTACTCAGGTATTTTTAAAGCAGAGGGTGTATAAGCTTCCAGCCCTGGACCACATGGGCTCCTGATGGTGCTGGGCTGTGGCTGGGCTTGCTTGGCTGCTGCTCTGGGCTCACAAGGGCCTGTCTGCTGGGAGAATTAACATGCAGGGAGCTCCAGTAGGGATTTACAGCCTGCTAATTGGCACTAATTTCCTTGGGTGGATGATTCTAGTACCCACTAAGAGTGCTTTTGTGCAGGTTAGCATCAAGAGTGCTTTTGTGTGAGTTAGGCAGGCTCCTTTTTGAAGGTGAAATATGCTGGTTTTCACTTCCCAAGCACCAAGGGTACCCAAATGGGCAGTTAGTGCAGAGTAGCTAATATGCAGTAAATTCACACCCAAGCTCACTGAGCATGAACTTTCTCATGCAGCCAAATCCCGAGGCTCTGCACTTTGTCTCTCTCAGCAGGGAGCAGATGGCCCTTCTCTAAACAGGGAATACCAATAAAGCCTTATGAAGAGCACAGATATGTGCGCATGAAGATTCGTGCCTGTCCATGTGCTTATATGAGATGACTTCAATCTATCCCAGTTCTTGGGTTAACTTCTGCTTCCGTGATTTTTGTTAAGATACCCTAAGGAGAACTTTGCTGCTGAATTGCCATCGTCCTTGTCATCAATAGACTGGGGTTTTAGCTGCAGGTTTTGATCATTTCTCCCTCCTTCTTCAGCACTAAGACAGCGTACTTTTTATTATATGAATGACTGCATCTTTTGTGTGTGAATCTTTGTTGCAATTCCCTTTCTCAGAACGTATTTGAACTGTCAATTAATGGTTTTCTCTAGGTCTCTAAGTAATTGGATGTGAAATCAAGTCAATTTTCAGATAAGACTTTGCTTTAGGCTGGGGCTCATAAATAAGTTGATCTATAATTAGTGTACAACTTCACTTTATCTTAAGACCACATAATAGGTTAAATTTTCATGCAAAGTTTTCTTGAAATTTTATAAATTATTTTATCTGGTTTTTGTGCTTATGCTTCAACTATATCATTGATTTCTAAGTCATCTGTACATTTTCTTTATGTTTTTGCTCCAGTATTGCCTGTATCCAAGAAAATTTTATATCACAGAAATTGCCTCTCCAATTTCCATCTGCAGTGAGAGTTTAGAACTCCACCGGCACTACCGTGGCCAAAATTTAAATTTACTTACGTACAAAAGATATTGCTCAAAATGCTTTTAACATGTCTTTTTAAAAATGACCTCAGCCATCCTAGCCTGCCAAAGATAAACAACCTTTCTGCTCGGCAGGCATTAACCCCTGGAGGAAGTGAAGTCCAATGCTGAGTGCAGAGGCACTTGCTCCAGGCATTCAGAGTGCTGCTGCAGAGAGGAGCCATCCTCCCTCCAGGTCCCAGTGCTCAGGAAGGCTGCAGGGCTGGGGAAAATATGCACAAGCCTCAGGGTTTCTCAGTCACAGATGTAAAATGCTGGCTGAATGTTTCTGACAATAAAGGAGGAGAGTCTGGGCCAGGTCAGCTTGACTGTTCCTCCTGGAGGACAGAAGGGTAGGAAGAAGGGATAAAATGGGATGAAAAGCAAGAAGAGATGACTGGAGAGCCAGGCTCTGGTTCCTGCTGTTCTGAAGATATTCTGTATAGGTTAAAACAATCACTTGGAAGTATTTTTTAGAGTTTAAGTTTCAAGGGTTTTTATATTTAGAGTTTCAGAGTGCTTTTATAGCTTTTTATAGTGATTTTTACTGTTGGTTTTATTCCAGAAGAGTTTCCTGTTGTAAGATACTTTAAAAAAAGGAATCCACATCCATCTGTGTGAATGAGTTGCAGCAGATACGATGAAGCAATTCTTAAAAATCCCACAGTTGCTGTTTTCCTTTCAACTGACATGTTCCTGCTTTTAAATAAAACAGTTGAATGCTAGGTTTAAAGAGAAATCCAAAGAATGCTGTGGTATTATTGGAAATCTCTGGCTGTGTCCAAGCAGAAAGGACAGTTGCATGACTCTGTTGTACATGACTGACTATGCCATATGAGTCCCTTGTTGGGATATGCTTTAAATCATCCCGAATGTTATCTTTTCAAACTCAGAACAGAAACAAAAGGAGGGTGAAAATTTAAGTCTGGATAAATTTCCTACAGCTTATCATGCAGAAATGTGTTTATTGGCATTCTTTGAATGTAGGTTTTTGGAGTACTTGACAATCTCTAACTGACGAGGTCTATTAAATAGCCATGTGCCGTAATTCACTTTGGCTGAATTGGAGAAAAGTTCCTGAGCAAAAGCCTCTTAGTCTTATGAGGAAGGGTTGCAAATTTAGTCCCAGGGTAATTGCTAATGAATTATGCTAACCTGTTTAAGGGGGTGCAATAAAACGGGAAATAGTGGGATGTGAAAGGAGATGGCAGTATTTACTAAAAAGCCTTAGTAAGGTATTGTGAGGAGACTATTTCTGTGCAGTGGTTTTCACCATGCAAAATATTTGACTTGATTTTGAGTGTGAGACCCACTTTACTGTGGGTGTAAACAACATTAATTACATTCACATTACTCTCTATTTTGTGTAGGAGGATTCACTCTGAATCATTTATTCAAAGTCAGTTGTACTGGTGTGCTTTAAGTGGCTTCCACCACAGGTGTTAGACATTTGCAGTAGCAGGTCAGGTGAACTTGGTCTAGTTTTGTGCTTAGTTATAGTGATTGTATGCAGCCATGAGGGTAAAACCAATTAGCTCAAGGGTAATAAAGTATTAAAACATACTACATACCTCACCAGTCACACAGTCGCTACATAGGAAGAGAGGACAAGTATACTTAGAAGAGGTGTTTTGAGTGAGGTAGCATAATTTGTGCACATGATTTTCTACAACCAGAACTTCATGCCAATTCATGGGTTTGTGACTGTGGGGACAAGGATGCCTGCACCATGCCTTGTACTGCCTGAGATTGTTCTGCATGGTAACTGATGTTCCTGCTGCTTGGTCTCCTGAACTGGGCTTCTGTTAGAAGCTGCTTCATCTCTTTTCTGGCATCCTTCAAGACAATGTTTGTACAAGGAATTTATTCTGTCAGAAAGCAGGGGTAAGGGAAAACAATTTTATATCTCCTGAGCTCAGCAAGAAAGCAAAAATATTTGGATTTGTTTGCATTTTTAAATATTTGTCACAATGCCAAGCTATTTTAAGCAATCTAGCTACTTCATCTCTACTTACTATCCTCTTCTACATCAGAATTATCACAAGCCACCTGAAATATGGGAATCAGATGTGATTTTTAATGTAAGAGCCATGCTTCAAACTGACAGGGATGGGAGGGGGAAATGTCACTGAACCAGCCAAGATTCTCTGGTGGAATTGCTGATTGATGACCTATACCTGGGAAAGGAGGGGAGCACCCTTCCCTTTTCAGTGGACTGAGTTTTTTTCCATCCTCTTGTGAAAGAAGCAGGTAGTCCTGTGCCTTCATCTCCAGGTATATGAAAAAAAATGCAAATTCCTTTGTTCCATTTTTTCCCTAGGGAGAGTTCAAAATGTCCAGTCCTTCCCACTGACAGTGCTGGCTGTCATGCTGGCCAAGATGGCTGGTCATGTTCATGTTCAACCTATACCTTCACTTTTCTCCCAGTGTTGAGGTCTACTGGATAATGTTTTAGCTTCAAATGACCCTCTAGAAAAATAAAATGTTGGCGACTCACTCTGTCCACATTTTCTTCCAAATGCAGCCATGTCTGAAAGGTTTTAACAAGCACATTGAATGCTGGGTATAATCTAACTGTATTAATCATGAGAGGAAAAATTGCTAGCAATGCAGTAGGAGGAAATAAAAACAATCTGTGACATTATGGATGACTTCTATATGTACCACGGCAGATAAAACAGAGGGGAAGAAGCCATAAAGTTTCCGTGGTATTCCAATTAGATGACAAGCCCATGGAAAGAATTATAACTGCTTTCTTGGTTCAGAGTGAGGTCCTATTCACTTGAAGGACATATATATATATACATTTATATATATATATAAAATTTCATTTTCCTCCCACCCTTTCTTTTTTTTTCTCTCCAAGCACATTAAATAATTTTTCTGGATAACCTGATCACAGACTATACCAATACTCTAAAGCAAAATACATAGCAACACAACTTGGTAAGGATTTTATAGCTAGACACTTTACAGACTGCCAAGTTTTAGCCTAAATCCTCTTAGACATAGTCTGAATAGGTTGATGCATATCTTAAATAGCAGATGCAGTTACTAAGCTGCTCTCTATCATATTTAAAAAGTCATGACAGTCAGGTGAAGTCTTCAGTGCCTGGAAAAAGGGAAACTTCATACCTGTTTTTAAGAAGGATAAAAAGGCAGACCCCAGAAACTATCACAGACAGTGGGACTCAGCAAGTTTGTGGATGATGAAAATCTAAGTTGTGCTGTTCATCTGCTTGAGGGAAAGGATGTCATCATGGGGGGCTTGGCAGGAGGAGTGGGCCATGGAACTCATGACATTCATTGAAGTCCTGCACCTGTGCTGGGGCAATCTCTGGCACCAGTAAAGACATGGTAATGAATGGACTGAGAGCAGCCCTGCAGATTTGGGGATGCTGGTTGACAAAAAAGCAGATATGAGCTAGCAATGTGCAATTGCAGCCCAGAAATCCAGTTGTATCCTGGACTGCGTAAAAAGAAGTGTGACCAGCAGGTTTACTCTGCTCTTGTGAGACCCCAGCTGGCACACTGCATCCAGCTCTGGATCCCTCAACACATGGATCTCTTGGAGCAGGTCCACAAAAACGATCAGATGGCTGGTACACCTCTCCTGTGAAGAAAGGCTGAGAGAGATGTGGTTGTTCAGACTGGAAAAAAGAATGCTCTGGGGACACCTTGTTTCAGATTTTTAATACTTAAAGGGGCTTATAGGAAAGATGGGGAGAGACTTTTTATCAGGGCCTGTAGTGATATGATAAAGGTCAACAGTTAAACTAAAAGAGAATAGGTTTAGATTGGACATAAAGAAGTTATTTATTATGATAAGACTGCCTCATCCCTAGCAGTGCCCAAGGCCAGATTGGATGGAGCTACCTGGTCCAGTGGAAGGTGTCCCTCCCATGGGACACCTTCCACTAGAAGATGATCTTTAAGGGCTCTTCTGGCCAGACCACTCTACAAGTGCCATCTCTCCAGCATACTTCTTGGATTACATTGTTATCCTCTCAAACAAATGAAGCTTCATCATTCAGCCACCTTAGACCTCTGGGATTTGGACTGGTCCCCAGCTCTCTTATAGTGTGGGCATCCCAAACCCTGAATAGTGACTCAAGAGATTTCTGGTCTGCCTCTTAAAGTAAAAATATAATAATTGAAACGAATTATGAGGCCTAATATGAAGTCTTTGTAAGAATTCCAAGCCCTAGATCTTGTTACTTCACCTAGCATGGGAAATACTCAGATTAAGACAAGACAGTAAAAAAAATTAGTCTCTTTACATGTTACCTTATCTCTTTTTCCTCATTGCTTCTGAGCATCCTTAAAACTTTAGAAGAAGCTCTTGAGCAGATATTCCACAGAAGGGTGTCTGGCAATGAACTTTTCTTTCTATGTGTTTTCCCTGTGGACCAAGGTTTCTCTTTCTTTTTTCTCTCTGGCTGATCCTGCAGCTAACAAGCTGCTGTGGGAGCCTGCCTATTTGCTTCTTTAGTCTTTTATCTCAGTGACCACAGTTTATGTAAGGCTCTGCTGTTTTTATGTTCTACTTATTTGCTACACTTTAGTAGTATTTTTATCTTCAAATGCCTACACCCAGATATCATTTTGCAGAGACTGTCCTCTTCCTCTGGTTGTGTCGCTTGGTTGAGGGTTTGCTGCTCTGGGGAAGTGTGAGTGACACAGTTACATTTGTGCCAGGTTCTGCATATTATTTGTTCAATATTATTCTGAAAGATCACAAAATGTATAAACTTCGCATTGCTGGATTCCCAAATTCAAAACAGGGACAGAGGTCAGCTATGTAGGAACTGGTAGCAAGCATGTATTTATAAACAGGTGATAAATTATATTTGTGTATGCAGAGTGAAAGATTCAGATAACTAACAGCTTGCTTAAATGCCACATAAATTTGGATCCTTCTTCAGTGGAAACTGAAAAACCTTTGGTAAACAGCACCTGCTTAGTAGCAGAGAGGAAAAGTAACAGACTCAAGAGAACACGTGATTTTAGGTCCTCAGCACTGGTACAGTCAAAGTGTGGATCTTCTCTTAGTTCTTCATCAGTGGTGTTTGATCATCTTGTTGATTCCTCTTAGAAGTCTGGATAATATCCCTAGGCAGAAAATGTGTTACACACGGAATGGAGAAGCAAAAACAGCCCTTCAATGAACCAAGTGGGGGCAGCATTAAGGTCCAGCTCCACAAAAGAATGTGACTCCTAACTGCTGCAGAAGTCAGTGGGTACATTGAGAAGCTATGTTATCTACATGCTGACTATGAAGACATCTCTGTAAATACTGGTATATACAAGACTGGTGGAAGTGAGACCTGGCTCTTCAGTGGTATTTCACTGCCTAATTTGTATTTAGGCACTGTGGATGGCATTTGTATTTAGAGCATCTGTGGATGCTCTGCTTCCTACGGAGCAGGGAAGCTTAAGATTTGTTTTCTTAATACTCATTATATTTTTGGAACCTCATTGATCACCCTGCCTGTTTTATTCTGTGCTCTGGGTGATAAGGCTCCAAACACAGCTGTATCTAGTACAGGGCTGCTACAGTGCACTATGATTTCCAGCTACATTGCTCACCACTGTAAACACCCCCCTTATAAAATCTGGTTCACTGGAACACTCAAAGCTGCTGGCTGCCAGGGAATGCTCCTTAATGAGGGTAAGGAGTACTTGAACACATCTATGACTTGGCAACCCTTCCTGCTTTTTATAAGCTACTATACACTTCAGAGAGAAAATATCTTAGAGGCTACTTTTTAATGGGACAAGTTTACTTAAGAGCTGAGTGGAGTTGGTGCCAGTAGTTCTGTTTTGTTCTAGCTTAATATTAGCCTTGTCAAAGTTCTTATAGCGTCTCCTGGGTGTTTCTGTATTGCATACCATATAAAGCTGGTTTTGGGAGCCAAGAATTTTGGCTGGAATATATATTATAGTGGTCTCATTATATTTTTTGAAAGTATATCAGAGGTGGCCCTATATTAAAGATCCATGGAGCAATGCTGTTTTTTTTTCTTTCTCCCTTCTAGTTTTGCCTTAGCCCACACTGCAGACACTGGATCCAGAATTTGAGCCAACCCATGTTTGTGGGTTATTTGAGATCCAAGGTCTTGGTTTGGCCTGTAATAAAATTTGGGTAATTAGTGATTTTTTTTTTAAAATGATACCTTGGATTTTGAAAATCACTAGACTTTTGGGAGGATGCTTTTGGTTTAAGCCTGCACTAGCAACAAATACTCAAAAAGATTCCTTTCTCATCTTGCTGACACAAGTATTCACTCAAAAACAGCTTGCCAACATGGTGCAACATGTGTTGCATCCTGTCTTGCCTCTTTGAGAAGCTGTGTGTTTTATGATTGCTTGGTGCTTTCTTACTGACAGACATCATTAGGTGGTGGACTTGGCAAAGTTTTTGCATCAGAGGGCATCCAGCCCATCTTTTCTAGAGTGTTTGTGGGGGAAGCTGGATCCTTTTCTGTCTGCACAAAGGAAAAAGAGAGCTGCTGTAACAAGGCCGTGCTTTGTCTCAGGAGAATCGCGGTTACCACAGAAAAGATGGGGAGAAGGTGTTGAGATGTGGGTGAGATTTGTTAAAATTACATTTGGGCTTTAAGCCCATGTCAGGTTTAAGAAAACATGGCAGAGGACCATTTTAATTCCTTTTTTTTTTTTTTGCCTATTCTCCTGTGCTAGGTTTTGAGTTTGGTGTGATCCCATTATCCGAGAAGCAGCTGTATGAGCCATAAACAGTGGAATTGAACCCCTGACAAAAATACTGTGGCAAGTACACTATATCCAGGTGCTGCTTTATGTGCAAGGAAGAGCAGCAGTGCAGCCTTGCCTTGGTTTCAGTGCGGTGCTGTTGGTGGTGCCCATGTGGGATGGGTGAAAGGATACCCTGCTCCCTCCTGTGCCTACAGCAGCTCTCTGTGGGACAGTCCAGTGATCCTCCTAACCTGGCCAGGGGCTGATGCCAGCTTGCTTCACTGGACACCAGCTTTCAGACTGTGCTTGCAACCAGGTTATCCAGAACTGCTCCTACAAGCAACAACGTGAAGAGTTGGTGCACATGAATCTGCATGAAGAAGGTTAATCTGAATGTGAATGGAAGGCAAACTTCCAGCTGGGCAGAGTTACTGCTGTGTATTAACCCAAATATTTATGTTATGGAGGCATGCTTTTCTGATAGGTGGTGGTAAACAAGGCTACTTAGCTCTGTAGTTTTCAGGAGGCCTGATTGTCTCTCTTTATAGGAGTTTTGGAAAAAAACCCCAAAACTCAGTGACACTGAATGAGCTACAGAGATGAACTAACAGACCTTTTCAGTTTTAATCCCCTGAGAACAGATACACTGTTTTCTACTGTTAAATTTCACCCCAAATTTCAAAATTTTCATGAAGTGATTTCAGTGTCCAAATCTATTAGGAAAAAAAAAAGTCACATGCAAACAGTTTAACTGTAGTATTGTAAATATTCAAAGGAGACAGGGAGAGGAAAGCTATAAGGAGGAAAACAGGAGGAGTTCTGTTCTCAGGCCTGCCTCATTTTCTCACATTGCTATGGCCAAACCAATTCATTTTTCAATATTCTCAGTTACAAAGGGGAAAACAATGCCTCCATGTCTCATGTGGCTCTCAGCGTCTGTTGTCTTTGCCAAGTATTGTCAATTTCTTAAACAAAAGGCCTTATGTAAAGGAAAAATTTCTTGTGAATTCTAGAAGATAGTTTTTTACCTGCTCTCATTTTGACTATTTAATGAAGCTACTACCTAAAGGTAGCATGGACATGAATCAAAATGATTTTATTTATTTAGACTGGTGAAACCACAAAAAGAAGCCCAAGATTCCAGTTGCATTACTGTTTATTTTTAGAGCAGACTCTGAACAAATAAAACAAATTGCCTTTCCCATGCTAGAGTAAATACTAACAGATATAACTCTTTCTCCAGTCTAAAATAAACCTCTCCCAATCTTAGCCATTCCCTTTCCTAAAGTGTCCAGGATGAGAGCTGGCACTGTGCCCTCCAGGTTTGGAGCTGCAGGCTTCCACAGAGCGGTGGGTGAGGAGCAAGTGTGGAGCTGGCTGAGGTCAGGGATGCTGGAGACCTGGCCAGCAGCACCCTCCTTTGTTTGGAAGGGCTGGAGGCTGAGTTACAGCACACTGCTGACCTCCTGCCCTTGGAGGTGCACTGGTACTCACTGCAGTCCTCATAACCAAGGATATAAAATAGAATTTACGAATACAGGGATAGTGAAGATGAGCCAACAATCTGTCAGATTGAAATCCTTGAAGGACCTCGTAAATACTTTAATATTTACACAGGGCCTGTATATTTTCACAATTACCTTTCCATGAGCCCAAAATGTTTTACACTGGAATGTTTTTAAGAAGGCTTTGAGAAGTTATATTCTCTGATATGTCTGAAAACTGCAGGCTCAGCTTCTCTATTGGCCCTTTTTTTTCTCATGAACAATTAAAGCTGGATTCCTATTTACCCCCAAATATGCAGAATGTCAATGGTGAGTTCTACCAAAATTATGTATTGATTATGATCACAGTGTGGTAAGAAGAGAATGGTTTGAATTTACAAGGGAGTGTTATACCATTAACTGGCAAAAAGCTGCATCTACAGTATTTGCCTCTATTATAATTAAAAAGTGATAGAAAATGACTATGACATGACTATGACAGAAAATGACTTTTCTGTAGAGAGATTTTTGAGAGAAACAAACTTATAAGAAGTTTGGAAGGCTTGAGGCAGTTCTTTAAAGCCTTAGGGTGGAAGTTTGGAGGCATGAAGACATAGATCAAGTATAGTGAATTTTGAAGCAGCTGACGTGTTCCTCTGGTTTCTGTCACAAGGCGCTTCTCTTTTCTGTCCAAAACAAGGTTCCTGCTAGAGTGTGAATGGGACTGTCATGGAGCTGGCACACCTGCTGCATGTATTAGACAGGCAGTGACAATGGATTGGTACTTAATGTGAGGCTCTGGCTCTTGCTGTGAGGTCCATTGTGAATTGGCTGTAAGGTCCATGGTGAGTGTAACACAGATCCCTTTTGGCTCATTGACAAGACTTTCTGCCTGATGTTGAGGGAGGGATAACAAATCCACAGTGACTTTTGGTGGTGTTTTCTATTTCTGGGGAGTCCTGAGAAACCAAAAGAAGTGACTTCTGCGCACTTTCTGCAGAAGGAAAGGCACTGAAGCAGCATCTGGAACTAATAACCTGTGTTTCACAGCTCACTGGTGGGCAGCAAGGGAGCCGCTCCGGCTCCAACAGGCCCTTACGTAAAACCTGCACACAGTGATTTTCAGCTGTGGGAAACTTGAAACGGCTTCTGCTGGCCCAGCGAGGAGGAGACTGCCTGACTCCCTTTTGGTTCACCTGGGACCACAGGCTCCCTGCAAGGGCATCACCACAGCCCTCAGATGTGGTAGCACGCAGGTGGAGCATGCACATACACACGCAGGAAAATCACGTCCAGCCATCAAATGGGGGTATTCCACTAATTGGAAAGTCTGTTCTGGTGTCTGGCCACCATTTGGCAGACACTGACAGTTTCCACTTAGAGCTGGCCAACCTCACCAGAAAGCCAGCTGTGCGGCTGATCTCATGAAGATGTCATTGAACAACCCTTTGAACTCCTTCAAGAAATGGTGGGTCTGGTTCAAGGCAGGCTGGGAATCCCCTGGGGGTCTTTGCTGGATGTGGGAATACAGACATCCATTGACGTAATAGTTACACCTCAGTGTTCCTGAGTTGCATGTAAGGATATCATCTTCATTCTGGCACCGGGGACTGCTTCCAAGTTCACCTTAAGCTGAAATAGAATCTCTTTGCTGTTCACATATATATGTCACTTTTTCTGCTCCTGTGAGTGTTGCTACGTCCTCATAAATTTTGGTAGCTTGTCATAATGGTTGCCATGATGAAAAGAGTTATTTATTTAAAAAAAGAAACAGATGGCACAAAAAAGTTCAATGAATTTCAGCATGTTTGAGAAATGAAATACCCATTTTAGAAATATCAGTTTTGTGAAGGTGTTAAATGCTATTTCACACAATCACAAGGCAGGTTTTTATTCACTACACTGAGTGTACAGAGAGCAACAAGAGAAATAAGGCAAAAAAAAAAAAAAAAGACAGAGCGGAGTAGTTTAATGAAAAGCCATAAAGAGATGAGTGTAGTTTAATTAGCTTCTGCCATTCAATACATGGAGTTCTGACAGTAGGTGAATGGGACACGAAAGCCACATCAGACAGAAAAAGCCTGAGGAAGCTGAACCCTAGTGTTGGGGAGAAAGAAGGAAGGAGAAAGAGAAAGCAAGTCACACACACAAAAAATCTGTTCCCAGAATTGTGGGTGCATATATCGACCACATCTCACCATAAATACACTATCAGGTGCAGAGAGACAGCCACTTATTTCCTGGAAGAGCAGAAAGTAATAGCAGCATCCAGGGTAATTTTTTTAACACATTTTGCACTTGTAGTGGAGGGTCCTTGCTCTAAGTCATAACTGAGGAACACACATGTGCAAATGATATGTAGAAAGCAGGTGGGTTAGTTAAAGGGACCTTTTTAAAAATGTTTGTAGAAATTTGTAGCTCAAAGTATTTTTATGAAAAATTAATTACGGTTCCTAATGTGAAAGAGATATAACAGGGATTTATTTCTTTTAGAAAAGGGAATGCTGAAGTTTGAGGGATTAAATGCCTTTCCCAAGGAAGCTGATTTTACAGCTGAAAGAAGTGCTTTTGCTTGAAATTCTAGTTAAAAATGTCAAAACTCTCTATTTACTGCATTGGAAACAGGGTGTAATCTGTATCTCTAGGTAACTAATGTTGTGTTTTAATAACCTGACTATACTTTTCCACTACAAAGTGTCTGATTCTCAGAGGGACTGATAAATTTGAAATTTTTTCATATTTTTTTTTCCATCTGTGTTACTTTAGTTTACTTGTTTTGTAATCTATTAGACCTAAATCTCGATACCCATTTTGACTAAAACATCAGCTGATAATCTGTGCCTGATTTTTAAAACTTATACAGCTGCCTCTGTCCATTCCCAAACATTTTCAAGCCAGAACTTTTAATATACTAGTTGGTGCTTTCTTGGACCAGGGAGAGTGGAAAAACTAAGGTGGCTGGTGCAGTACATGTGGGTGGAGGCCCTGAATGAAGCCTTTATAAAAACTGTCTCATAGGAGATTTCCTCTCTTCTTTCCAGTTTGGATTAGGCTTTTTGGCATACATATGCAAGAAACTCATCGTGTCTTTGCATTCAAACTGCACAAGCCAGCTTAGTACTTTGCGAGTTTCCCTTGGAAATTGCTCTGCAGTGCTCCATCCAGAGAAGATGCATTTCCCTGTGTGTTTGGTTATAAGCAAGATCATGAGGCATTTATTTTAGCACTCAATTTACTTGCTTCTCTCACTTCTCTCTTCTCCGTTCCTATGGAAGTTTGTTTGAAATATTTCTTTGAATTTAGATAGCTCGTAATATTGAGAAATTATTTTCTTTGCCTCTGGCTGATTATAATGCAGGGGCAGATGGATTTAACACAAGCTTAACCCTTTTGTTTCTGGAAAGGATTAGTACAGGCTTAGATAATAACTTGGAAAATACAAGGATAGTATTCAATTGCTGCCATTCTTAATACAGTAATAATGAGTAATGTGTTCCAGGGTTAGCCCATTAGACATTGAGATAGGTAATCTGACGTTGGATCTTTCTGTGTACACTTATACACATTCATGTATGTTCTCTCTTCAGCTGGCTCTGTGTTACTTGCAGGGGGTCCTTCTCTCCTGACCATTCAGCTGAGCAGCCTTGGCAGGAGGGTGGTTGCTCCTGGCCCCCTGAGAGCCTGGGTGCTGCATCATCCCCTGTGTCTTGGAGATCACAGGTGAGGGTTCATAATCCCCACAGCTGAGGTGAGAACCCATCTTGGATTCTCTGATGTTTCTACCAAAAGTGGGCTTTTACAGGTGATGTCTGCTGGATGCCATTCTTCAATGGGCGTGGTGCAGCTCCTTGTATTGGACTTGCAGAGCTGGCGAGACCAGATGTGTACCAGACAGCTGCTTGTTGGAAATGAGTTGTTTCCACACCTGCTACTAATCACACAGAGAAATGCCAGTTCTGGACAGAAACACCAACTGAGTTTAGATGCATTCAGGTTTGGGTGGAAGCAGTGAGCAGGCACTATTGATAGCTCTGAATACCTAGATGCCTGTACTTCCTTAAATACTGACATGGCTAATGAAGGCTGCTAATTACAATTTGTGATTTGTTTTTGGACTTGTAGTGTGAAAACTGATTCAAGAACTATGACTTTTATGTTTTTTACCTAGGGTTTTGCATGTGATGAGTTGACGCTGTAGTGGTTAAGTTGCTGCAAGCATGTGGATCCACTTCCACGATCCTTTGTGTGTTTATCCCAAGGTCACATGCATATCCTAATTCATTTATTTGTAGCTAAATGCCCTGGTATAAACAACTGCATCTATACAAGGTGGGTAGAAGCTGCTGTTCTTTTGACTTAATAGAATTTTATACTGATGGTGCTGGTGGGAAAAACTTGATAAGAATGAAGGATAAAAGAGGTAAAGGAACAGAAAAGCAAACTCTTGGAAGAAAATCTCCAAACATTCAATATTTTCCCCATCTTTTCCACCCCTCACCCCTCCTTGCCCCAGTGCATCTCTTTTTCCAAAACACAAAGACCTTTTTATCTCTGACTTCTGTTTCTGTTTTGTTCTGCTATTTTTTAAGCATTAGAAATAGACAATTTACCAGCAGATTATGAGACCTGGTGGAAATCCATTTTTCTTTAGTGTACGGTAGTTGCTAGACATACATAACTTTCAAATCCTCTCTGGGAAGTAAGTGTCAGGGAGACATTCAGCTAACCCAAACAACACATTTCACAGTAAGTGCTGTTCTACCAAAAGGCCTTTAGACTGAATAGCTAAATGTCCCCTCCTTTAAGGATATTGAGGGAGCCAGCATCAGGGGATGCTGGGAAGCTTGTTGTCTTACAGTCAATGTAAATATTTGTAGATATTCTGAAGGGAGTCTGAACCCTGCAAAACTTCTGGCTCCTGAATTAACCATAAGGATTTCTCACTTAGTTTAGTGTTCAACTGAAATACAGACAGCAAGGAGTCATAGGCTTGGTCTGCCGTGCAAAGTTCCAGTGAAGAGTGATTTTCAATAGAGCTAATTAAACAAAAGCGCATCAGTAGCATGCATGCACTTACATCAAAGCACACAGAGATTTTATAGGCTTAATTTAACTTTAAATCAGCTTAAATGTGTCCATTTCATGGCACTGAGTGGAGCAAATCAATTTTAAATTTAATTAAAGTGGTGTTCTTTTCCAATGTAAGGAGGTCTTATAGGCCTTTCTGTTTCCCGTTATTGATCTCAATGGTATTCCTTGAACATGTTAAAAAACCCATTCTTTTTTCCACACAACTTACTTGCAAAAATACTGAATTCAGTCATCTGCACATGATTAACATTTTTGCAGTACATATGTACTATTCTGTTACACAGCAAGATCCATACTGGCATGTAATTTTTGGATAAGCTTTTTCATAATTTGTTTTCACTAAATGTCCTGTTGAAAAGAAAATTGGAGGGCCTGTGACAAGTATGTAGAAATCTTTTTTATGACTTTTAGGCAAGGAAGAAAAGAATTTGTATTTAAATGTAAGCAATTTCCTGTGATGTGAGTTTGCTCACAGTGGGGTAACCTTAAAGGTGATAGATAGTAAGAAAGCTAATGTAAATAAATAAACTATATTTATAATGTAGTAGCAGCTACAGGTCATCATAGCAGTGTGGCTTGTTCAATATTAGAATGAATACTCCATTTTTCCAGCAAAATGAAATGTATTAAAAAACAAACAACTTTCTAGTCTCAGAAAATGCACTAATAGTGGAGACTAGAACAGAATAACTCTAATACTTGACAATGTTCACACCACAGATTAGCACTTTTAACGTTCTCCAACCTGAGATGTTCCCCTTAGCTAATGAGCCCGTCCTCTTTATTGCTCAAACTTCTGACCATACTCAGACAAAAAACCACCACAAGTATTAAGCAACCCCCAAAACATCCTCCTGAGAACTATTTATACAAGATGCAGTGGTCAGTCAGGGCAGTAAAACAGTGGTTTACAAGAAGCCCAAATAAAGCCTAGGGCTGTCCTGAGCAGGATGGCCTGTGGCGAGTCAATGGGTAAACATTCTCAGAGCAGAAATTAAAAAAGGGGAGAAACAGCCTAAAGCAGATGAAGGCAAGTCTGAATAATTCCAAGCAAGCAGCATTGCCTGTGTTCTCATGTATCTTAATCCTTGTCACGTGTTTGAATTAGGATTATGCTTCTCTCCCACCCACCTTTAAGACCTTTTATTCATTAAAAACTTACATAAAATATGGAATAAATCTATTTGAAGAAAAGTTCTCTTGTACAGCAGATTATCTAAGGAAACCTCCATGTTATGATTAGATCTATTATGGTTAGATCCTTAACAATTTATTTCAGTGGGAAAACTTCCATTGGATTTAATAGCAGCAGGGTCTGAACTACATTTTCATGAATCATTTCAAGACAGTTTGCCATTCAGGGATATTGGCTTCTTACCAAATGACTCTTTTAGTTAGATCATAAGGCAGGTTGCCCTTGTTCCATGTTATATCCAGCCCCATGGATGTGGTCTTGAAAGCAACCTGAAACCTGGGTATCATAACTTTGGTGAAATAGCCTTAATACCTTAACACATTATGCTACGATAGTGAATTATGTTTTGGGAGAAAATGTTCTCACATGTCCTATAAAAGAAAAATTTACACTGGATCTATTTCTGTAGTGTGGCTACAGTTCTCTGTTTGAGGTAAATTTATTAAAGTAAGACAGACCTACTTGATAAAATCCAAATGTAAGTACCCTTCATTATTCCATACAAAGGCATTTTCAGCATGGTAAGTGAAATATACTTGCTTGAAACTGTGTTTCGAAACCAAAGCTTTGTTGCATCAACACAAGCATGCAGCATCAGTGGCACTCACCAGCTGAGCAAAGCATCCTTTGGGAGGCATTTGGTCAAAGCTTGTGATTGTGAAGGTTAGCAAGGTTTTTGACACTGTTTTGCACCATATCCTTGTATCCAATGTGTTCATTCTAGAGGTTGTTCTAGAGAACAACCAGGTGGTAAAATACCTGGTGGGGTGGTTTGCTTTAGAGGGTGCTGATTAATGGGTCATGCACTGTCTGGAGGCCTAACTAGAGGAGCACTGCAGGGTCTGTCACTAGAACCGGCCTGTTTCACATTTCCATAAATGACTTGGAGGAGACAGTGAAGCGTGCTTTCAACAGAACTGTAGATGGTGACAAACTGGAATGGTCAGGACCACTCATGCTGTGAGGATGTACAACTGGGGCTTGTTCACTGTGGAGATGAGGTGGCTTTGGAGGCCCCCAACAGTGTGTCCCCTCCTCCTCACCCCCATAACTACTGGAGGACATGGAGCCATGGTCTCCACAATGGGGCATGGTGGACAAGGAAAAATGGCACAAGTTGAAATGAGCTGTTCATACTGGATATGAGGAAATACCTTCCCACCATGAGGACAGTGGCACAGGCTGCCTGGGGTGGTTGCACAGCCTTCATCCTTTGGAAGTCTTTGAGACCTGACAGGAGAACTGGCCAAGCACATTGTCTGAGCTCATGGTTGAGTCCACCTTCAGTAGGAGGCTGGTCCAGAGAATTGCTGAGATCCCTTCTGACTTGAACAATCCTTGATTCCTATGATCCTATAGGTGCAACTACAGTTTGGCTTGGTGTTTACCTGAGAAGCAATATATTGATAAAGGCTTTCTTTAGCCAATTCTTTTTAAAGATGCCTTGCCCTTGCAACAGTCTTTCATAAAACAACTCTTTTGCCTGCTTGTTTCCTACACCCCCAAAGCAAAGTTATTCTTGACACCGACAGACAGAAGACTTTATGAAAGAAATGTCCCTGATGATGAGCAGTGAATCAGCACAGCCTTTAGTGTGTTCTTACCTCTGCAAAAGCTCACTGATGATAATGCAAGGTGGATAGTGGATGTAGGCAATACACACACTCCATAATCCTAGACAAAACCAAGGTCACAGAAGCATATAATGATATATCCCTCACATTTTTATAAGTGGCTGATTTGACAAAACATAAGGATATTTCATAAGTTCCTGCAGTAACTTAGAATATTTACTTTCCATGCAATAGAGAAAAACTGTGAAGCTGTGAAGACTGAAAATCTACACTCTGCTAAGAAATACACTCTAGAAATTGCTGGAATTAAACAGTACTCACATTACTTTTATTTAAAAACCAATTGGGGTTTGTACATAGTTCACGTGACTCAGGAAGTAGCTATTATCATTAATCATGTTTTCACATTGTGTTCACTGTGCTAGGTCTATCATATTTCTAGACAAAGCTTAAGGCAGGCAAATATAGATTTTTATCTGGCCTATGGAAATGGAAAAGAGGCAGAGGATGAACAGGAATCTACTCATTTAGGAACAATGAAATTCCTTTGGTGGAGTGTTTTATATAACAAGCAGTCACAGTGGCACAGTTCTGACAGCAGCTTGTCAGCATCTATGGTTCCCTTTGAGTTTCAGCACTTGTGCTTCATTAATTGGTAGCATTCAGTGAGGTTAAGAATGAAAAATACTCATCTCTTGGGGATTTTAAAATTTCGTTTTCAGTAGTTGATACTAAATTCTGCACCCAGACACTTTGATTTGCAAGGTAATTTGCTCATTTTAACTCAGAAACAAAATGCAGTTCAGAGAGGTTCATTTTTTCCATAAATTGGTGTTCTTGGTCCCGGCTCTGTAATAAGATGTTCCAAATGTTCATTGCTTGCAGTCTGTCTCATATAATTGGGGATGGGTATGACGTGTTTTGATGCACATAAGACTATTCTCTTTTGGGATTCATTTAAATCCATCCCAGTTTAGAAGAAGAAGCTTGTCTCAGCTTTGTAGGTGCCATGTATGAAGTGCATTGTCTTCTCAGCTCATTTACTCTTAGGCAGGTGCTCATATAACAAACCATCAAAATAACTGGCTTGAAAAAACAACCTCATGTCTGTCAGGAGGGAGGACAATAATTAATAACATATGGAAAGAGTTTCTTTTACCACAGGGATGAAAGGTACCATGGTAAAACAGGATGTGGACAAATGTATGCTCTGGTTGTCTCTGCCTGTGGTTTGTGTCAGCCTGTGTCTGACCAGGAGGTTCTGGCTTATGGTGTGTCCAGATGATAGTTAGAATAATTAATGGGCTTTTTTAAAAAATATAAACTATAAAACAAGCTTATAACTAGAGCAGTTCATTGATTTCAGTTGTAAGATTCTGGCCTACTATAATTCCATAGAAATTGCTCTTAAATCTTGCAGAAAGTATCTTTATTTTCCATTTCACCCAGGTATCAGAAATAGTGGGTACATGTTTTTCAGTTGTGTATGTTCATATTTCCTGAAACTTTGTCTAGAACCTGAAAATTGTTAGAAAATACTGGAAGAATTTGTATATGATTTGTCAGCTATCTTTGAAAGGGAAATTTTTCTAGTTGCTACCTCTGCAAAAAACCAACCCTATTTGAATGATAAGCATACGCCTGAATTTCTCGAAAGTGATTAACTTTAATCTATTTGATATCATCCAGAATTCCAGAGGATTTCAGCTCAGATTAAAAACCCTTTTTTAACATGAACAGTCATACAAATTGATAAATGTGTCTTACAACATCCTGCCTAGGATGACCAAGTCATGCATATGGTAGAGTTTATCACGTATGTCACACAAAGCAAGGCAGTGCTTGATAAGCACTTTTATTGGGTAATTAATTTTTTTTTTTACGTTTGCAAATAAAGCAGATTGATTTCCATCTTGAAGTAATTTACTAACACATTATAAACTCGTCAAATGCTAACGTGGTGTAGTATGCCATTTCCTGTTTACTAAGTAAACTTTTAGCTGTCTGCTTTGTGTCTTTCAGGTTGAGCCTGGAATTGTCCTCTGCCAGGGACGTCATTGAGCCTGCTGTCAGAGCCCTCCACCTGAAGGAAAACATTGCCTCCTTGCCTTGACTTCTTGCAAATACAAGTCATGGCCGTCTCCCAGTGGTTTGCAGGCCCAAGCTAGAACATGCAGAGGTGTTCCAGGGAGCTATTAAAAGGTAAAAATGCTATCAAATTGATGTCATGTGATGTTTCTGGCTATTTACCAACTTTTTTTTTTTTTTTCTTTAAGCATCTATTTGTGAAGATTATTTGAGATATATACAAAACTTTTTTTTCTTTAGCATGAAAAGCAGGTGTCCTTTAAAGAAAGGACCCAGTCCTTTCTAGCACAAGGTCATCTATTGCTTCAGGAATTTATGGAAGCAGCAACTATGAAACGATCTTCTGGGAACAGCAGAAAAAGGGAAAAATGCCCTTCAGAGCCTTAAAGGTTCACTGAAACAGTAATTTAAAAGGATTTGAATCCAGTTACTCATGACATTTCCCATGCCAATTCAAAGCTGGCCAGCTCCTTCTCCACATTTTTTTTTTCATTTTATTAGTGTATGCTTTTACAGGAAATGAGTTAACATAAATCATATTACAGACAAGATAAGCAACGAAGTCACTGGAAGTAACATGCTAGGGTAAACAAGAATCAGACTAAAGGAATCCTTGCCATATGGGGCACTCTCAAAAGGCATATAAAATCTCCTGATAAATGAAGTATTTGTAGTACTATATTTCATATGACAGCGAGAGTGAATTCATCCTTTTAGGAAGGGATATTAAGATTGTCCTTTGAATGGTGGGTCATGAGTGGGAGAGGCAGTGACTTAATTTCCACCTTGAGTATCCTAGAGGAAAAGAGAAGATGCATATGCACCTCCTACTGCATTGGAGTTCATACAGCAAAGCCCTATGAATTCTGCTTCCAACAACAATAAAACTGGACACATGTAGTAAAAACACATGGACAGTTTTGTTTTATAATTTTTCATAATTTTCATGGTTTCATTTGTCGTGAATGGCTGTAGTATTCTACATCTTTTCTTGTACAGAGTTCTTTTTTTATCCACTTGTTTTATCACCTTAACTGCATGACACTTGGACCTACCTGTCAGCAAATAAGGATAAAAGTATTTTTTTCTGTCAATGTGGATGGTGGAAAAAAACTACCTGTGCATCACTGGTGGAGATTTGATTAGGACTTTCTCATTTGCCTACTTTATAACAAATTTTCAAGGATGAACTACCAGCAGCTGAGTGAATATTTAATAAAAATTGTGAACTTGCTTCAGTGACAAGTGAAACAGTTTGTATAAACCTTTTAGGAAGACAAATATCTGCTTGCAATGAGAATTGTACAGTGGGAATTGTTCGGGTTTCAGTGGCCTGGAGGAGTAATGACATCAATAAGTGCAGTATTGTATACTTGTGTATGATGCATATACTTGTTTCCTCACAGTGATGTTATCATAAACATAATGAATACAAAATGTGCTAAGGCTCTAAAACCTAAATTTCTGAGTGATAGTCTGCAGTATGTACCAGTCTGAAGATATTACAGAGCATACAGTGTGATTTTTTAGTTCTCAGCTGTTCACAGCAATAAAACTAGAAAGCACACTAGCAACAGCTACAACCAAAGTTCCTTTAAAATTCACTGTACAGGCCCAGGCTGCTGAGGCATATGCAGAGTTCATGTAAATACTGTCGTGCTTTATAATGCAGAACAAATTGGTGTTGGAGGAAGCAGAAAGGGGGAAAGGAAGGCTGATACTAGGACACTCCAAAGAGAGATGCCTGTAGAGAAATGCTGATGCTTCCTGAAAATTCTGTTAGGCTTGTGGTTTTCTCAAGCCTCAGATCTCTTCCATGATACATTCTGTTGGAGCCTTTTAAAGGGATGAAGGAAGAAGTTTGTTTCCCTGTCACTTCCAGCATAAATGAGCTGTTGTTAGACTGTTTTGAATAAAACCAAGATAATATTATAAATGGTTGACAAAGAAGAGTCAAACAGCTTTCTTGGCTAGTTGGTACCTCACTCCAGTGAAACACATACGAACAGGTTGTCTGGGAGTAAGGATTGTGTTCTGGGGTGCTCTGACAACACCCCTTCTTGCTCCAGTGTTTGCCTAGTGGCTTGAGGACTTTCATGATGAATTCTGAGTGCCTCGTCCCCAGCAGGGACCACAGGTGACTTTGCTGTTTTGCTGTTCTCACCAACACTGGGAATGGAATGCCCTGCAGTCATCCTCTGAAACAAATCTCCAGTAATGTGTCATGGAATTTGTGTATTCGTGACCAGAAGCAGTTAGGGTTTAGGTTTTCCATCTTACTCATAAAATTGCAGCACGTAACTCTTAAGACCACGATGACAAATGCTGTGAACTCCTTTAAGGAGAAGGGTGCTATTCAACCCCTTACCCTATGAGACCCAAGGAAATGCCATACGGGCATGACATGACCACAGCATGAAAATGGCAAGTTATTTACCCATTTTGTACACCAACAATATTAAAGTGGAGGATATATGGTTTGCCTGACATATTTTAAAAGGGTGTCTTGGGGAAGATGTAAAAACTAATTGCCTTGATGGTTTTGTTGAGAGTTGCCTTGGATGTAATTATTGATTCTCAAATATGGTTGCTGGATTTTTTTTTCCCTCTGGAACTAAAATATTGCTATTAAAAATAATGGAGTAACAAGTTAATGAAGGGAAAGAAACAAACAATCTGCTAAGCTTGCATGAATGCAGTGGCAGCTCATAATTTTTTAATGATTCTCATTTTTATGTTCTTTTGTGCCATTTTTTTCTCATGAAATAAGAATGGATAAAACACTGTAAATTTGGTCCAAATGTAGAAGTTATTCAGTACCTGGCCACACTTGGAAACTGTAACAATGGAAATTGCTGTACATGGATGAATCGTTGTTATGTTTCATAACACATATGAATGATTCTGACCCTTTGAAGAGAAAAGGTCAGTGCCAGTTCTTACAAAAGCAAGGACGGTGGCCAAGTGATGTTGGCTGGAATTTGCATGGGCCTACAAATGCACCTTAGTGTTGGCCTGTAGCACACAGATTTTCCAATTTTATTAATAAAATCACAGACGTGCCTCCCCCTCTCTTCCAGATCTGCCTAGTGGGGCTAGATTTTTCTCCTGCTCTTTGTGATCTGGATGTTTACCCACTGGAGATCAAAATGAGATCACCAAACACATTTTTCCATGGGTGACCTAAAGCTGAAGCTGTTATCTTCCCCAGCTGAGCAAGCAGTAGAAAATAAGAACAAAATCAACTACTAAAGAAAACTTCTTGGCTTTAAAATTGTTAAAGAGGAAGCAATCTGTAGCTGAGAAGCAAGTTTCCAAAACAAAGATCTCCTTAGAGTAATACATTTGACACTTTGCCACAGTCAGAGCTCTGTGCATGCCTGGGAAACCCTTGCAGAGTTCAGTTTGAGGAACGTGTGGCTGTTGAACTTGATGCATTGATGGGGATGATCAACTTACTGTGTGCAGTGCAGTGGGTTGAGGGACTGGCTGGCCCCCTTCATTTCTCCCACAGTAGTAATGATACTTGCACATCAGAACAAAACAAGCTATTCTTTTGCACTGCAGCTGAAATGCCTCCCCTGTTGCCCCCCAGTGACTGCAGCTGAGCTGAGCTGTTATGAATGTGTTAGCCCTGAGTCTGCTGAGAGCTATAAATGTCATGCCTTCAATGACATGCCCTCCTGGCTAGGTGGAATTCATTCTTCAGAGTGACCTGAGGATAGGACCACTGCCTTCCTTCCCAGGCCGTTTCTGCCAGAGAAACAGTATGAGGCTGTAAATGCATACTGAGGAGTTGTCAGGAGGTCCCTTGGCTCTCTTTTGTCTTGGCTGCTCTAGACTGTGGCTCCAGATCCTCCTCCAGTGGGAAAAGATAAGAGTTATGCTTCTGCCTAATTTCTATGAGACCAAATCTGAAAAAAAGAGCTATTTTTTCATTTCCACATATGTTACAATGTACTGGTGCAGGGCCATTGTGGGGCAATGAAGTGGTTCTCTGACATGATGAAGAGATTAAACATATCATCACTCGTGTTTTGCTTCTCCATCTTCTTTGCCAGAGGTTTACTTCATAATGTAAAGCACAGTAAAACCAGAAGACACGGAAGGTTTGAGGAGAGAAACTGTAGGTAATGAATTTCTTTTCCCTGTCTGTGGACACGTCTGGGATATAACAGGAGGGTGATGATACTCCATGGTCAGCAGCAATATCTTTGTTGCCATGCTTTGCATCCTCTGATTGCTTCCCTCTACAGGCATGTGTAATGGATGATAATGTGCTCTCTACCTAGGTGCTTTTTTTTCTGGGATGCTGTTTATTCCTTGTTTCAAGTAGTTTTCCTGCATATTTGTGACTGATGAATACCATGTTCCTCCCAGGGATTGTTCTGGTGTTGGTGGCCTTTTTTTGTCTTTGCCTTCACTTTTGCCAAGGAAAATTAGGGAGCAGCTTTTCCGTACTGTGGTTCAATCCTCCTGGTGTCCGTTGAAGTAAAGCAGGTGCACACTGGTGTCCTGTTAGACCAGGATCTGTCCCCTCTATGTCCTTTGAGGAAAAATGGTGAAGAGAGTCAAAAGCTGGAATGCTGCCCAGCAATCTTAATTTCTGCCTTGAACACAGCTGGGAGACAATTTTCCTGGAGAAACTACTAGGCTGACAAATACCACTGAGTAGCCTGTTTGGGAATTTTACCATAACAAATAAGCCGTTTTGTTCACGCCTGAGGCTCTCAGGTCCGTACCATACGTATTCCCGGTGCTTGCCTCTGTACTCTTACCTACACAGCTGTTAGCCATTACTCTGCATTCTGTTTGTCTATCTTTTAGCTGAAGGAAAACTTTTTTTTTTCCTTGATTTAATTTGACTAGGATAAAGTAGTTATGCAGAAACCACAATAGCTCTGATGGTAAGCAGACTGTATGGAATAAAACTGCTTAAGCATAAATGGGTAAAACTTGGTTTTATGCTATTTCTGTAGGGGATGTGACATTTTTGGCATTGTGTTTGCATTTTGTGTGTATTTTTTCACCTAGGAAACCCCATCTCTTCCCACCTATCAATTTTACTGAAACTTCAGCATTTGTGGTTGATTGAAATAGGTACTTTGAAGCCAAAAAGAAATTTAAATAAAATATTGAAGATAAAGTTGTCAAAAATCCTTGTATTTTACCATGTTTGTTCAAACTATTTAATCATGGTTGGATGCCCCATCCCTAGAAGCATTTAAGGCTAGGATGGATGGGTCTTGGACCAGCTTGGTCAAAGATGGGAGATATCCGTGCCTATGCAGGGCTGGAATTAGATTATGTTTAAAGTCTCTTGCAATCCAAACCATTCTATGGTTTTATGATTGTTCGTTATATATGTACGTCTTGTATGCAAGACTGTATTGACTGAAAACATGGCTTCCCATCCAAAGAATTTCAAAAGGTCTAATGCCCTGGAAAACAGATTCAATCCATCTTAAAATAAAACCTAATTACCTCTGAAGGTCTTGTTCTGAAAGGTGAGTTAAAGCTTGCTGTTCTGTGTAATCACACAAATGTGTTTTGTAAACTTTCCTTAAAAATGTCCAGCTGGCCTGAGCCAAGCTGCACAGGCCTGCAGAGCACAGCATTGCCGCTGGGATGCTCCCAGCGAACCCGGAGGGACTCCAGCGCTCTTGTAGATCTGGATGTGGAAACTGACTTCAGTGGGGCTGGGAGCGCTGGCAAGAATGCTGAGAGTTACATCTTTCCACTTCAGAAACTCAAGGGAGATATTAAACATCCGCTTGATCAGCAGCAAACTCCCTGCTCCAATTCTCGCTCAAAGGATGTCATGTCTAATGGAGCTGAACTGCCAGAAAGCTGCACCTGAGCGAGGAGGATTTCTGCCTCAGGTTAGTCCCTGGTGCAGATCCAGAGGAACTGCCAGAGGAGGGAGCCAAACTTCATTTCTGTTGGCAATATTTATTTTGCTGATGTTCTTTGCTGTGCTCCTGCACTTTCTGCTCCCTTTGTGGTAGGAGGAAGCCAGGTACAGAACAGTGTGTGCTCATGAACTACTTCTACTCAATGGTCCTGCTTTAGATTCCCTGCTTGTGAGGTGGTATGGGAAGGGAGATACTCTGCTCTCCTCAATCAGAAGATATAGTAGAGCAGCTGTTCCCAGTAACAATTATGACACTATTGCTGAGACAAACATTTTCACAATGATGCATGGGAATGCTAAATCCAAACCACATTGTTTAGCTAATGCATGCTTTCGCTCTGCTAAAGGGGAATGTCACATAACTGAAAGTAAATTGAAGAGATCAGAGTTTAGAAAATATGACAAAGTTGAAAACTTAAAGCTGTAATACACAGTAACATCCTTTAGCAGTGAAATCAATGATCCAGAGTGGAGTGTGTATGTGTATTTTATGGCAGTTTATTAGGTATGACTCCCCTCTGGCCAGTCCAGTGCACAGACACTGTTGTGAGTCAGGAATGCTTTCTGCCAAGCACTTCAGTGAAACTGAGTATAGCATATAGATCTCCTTTCCCACAGAACATATCAGGCATTGCAACATATCATAGATATGTCAGACTGTAGGTATGGTTTCTGGCATTTTTCTTTAATCTGCACTCCCAGCTGGGACTAATGAAACACTGCTCTCAAGGCGTGTGTGTGCACATGTGCTCAGAGAGTCCTCACACGCTGTTTTAATAAGGTAATACTTTTATTTTCCTTAGCAGGAGGAAAGGTTCTTGCCTTCGGTAGTGATGTGGTGCAACAGCTTAGAGAAAGGAAAGTTAAAAATGAATGGAGACCCAAAATATTTAATTCATAAATTGATTACTGAACTAGTGATATCTACCTTAATATTGTGAGAGCCTTGGTGCTGGCACTTTCAAAATAACTGATATGGGTTTGAAAGATTGTTGGAGAGCCTTCTCCTTCTGGCACTGTTGTGGAGACATCGCTAAGTTTAGATCACAAGGATGCAAAGTTACTCAATCAAACACAGAAGTCTGCTAAATTCATTCAATAAATGCAGATAAAAATGGAGTTTTGTCTCTTACCAGAGGATCATGGTCAACTTCCCCCCTTCCTTTTCAATGTGCCTTTGCTGTAAGTTCTGGGTGATTCTATCAGGTCTGATCAAAGCTAGAAACACCTTTGGCAGTGGTTTGAAGGTTTTGTCTGAACTCAGCAAGCAATGAAGAAAAAAGGAGAGGGGAAGCACATTAAGAACTTGAAAACTATTTTTAGGTGTGCAGACTAGGGAGCTGACAGCAATATCTGACAGCAACACCAAAGTGCCTTTGAGATTACTTGGTTTTCATGTTAGAGGGTCGAGTCTGTCAGCCCATTGATTGTTTTTACTGTCCAGCCTCCTGCTTTTGAAGAGCTGCTCTAGTTAATTTCAATGGTACACTATACAGAAATCTTGCCTATTTAAATAAATGGAATTCAGTACTTTCAACAAAAGCCCGGGATGTTATGATCCTCCCATGCATTGTCAGGGTCCTGGGGCACTGTAGCTCATGAATAACACAGATGGAGGAAGGTTTATAGAGTCTGTGGCAGTGGTTTTATTTCATATCCAAAGTGCGAAAAGTTTCTTCCAAAGAACAAAATTATTTGATACTTTTAAGTATGTAGGTCTGTTTGGCCTTACAAATAATAGTGCAGGTGCTGTAGGAATTTTGTGATGGAGCCCTTTGCAGGGAAAACTGGAGTGTTGCAGAGGCTGTGTGCTAACCCAAAAAGCCAAATTAAAAACGTATGCAGCCGCACTGCAGCATGTGGGTGGCTTTTAGGCAAGTGCAGAGTGTTGTTAAATGTCGAAATCAAATATAGGCATGGAGAAAACTGGTGTGTGAATGGAAAGACTGATCACATACTTGTCCTGCCATTGAAATGTGTGGTAGGCTCCTCTGAAATTGAAAATCTGCCTAGTAGCAAGCCAGCTTTTAGGGAAATACAAATCTGATTTTAAGTCTTCATACATTTCTAAAATCTAGCCCTTCTGCAGGTCTGAAAAACAGTTAGCATTTACAATTTATTATCAGCTGCCTTTGCATTTTCATGTTGAGGCTGTGGTCTTGCTGTCTGCTCATTCACACTGATGACATTGCCTATAAAACTTGACAACTGGCAACTTAAGTAATAACGAGTATTAACTTCAAAACATAGCTCTGACGTAGAAGAAATCTCTGTATTGTACATTTGAAAACTGAGGTGCAGATATTAAATATTTGTTCAGTGTCCTTTTAAAAGCTGTAGCATAGACAGAATTTGACCTTTGCTCTGGAAAACCTCAGCCTAGTACTTGATAGTGACCTTTTTATCATCTTTTAGGTAAAATGCCAAAAATTCACGCAATGCTCCCTCTTCATTTGAAGAACAGAATATTAAGTGAACAGTAACGATTTAGTCTGCCTAACCTGAAACAACCCTGTAACCCTGAGATTTTATTGTGTAAGATGAAGACTTGGTTAATTTAAAACGGTTCCCGATATGTGATGACCTAGTCCTTATCTACTGTCTAGCTCACCATATGCAGAATATTCTTTTTTATAAGTTTAAAAAAGCACAACACTATTTGAAGTCAGACAAATGATTGCTTTGGATATTGGCCAAAACAACAGATAAAATCAGCTAAAAAAATAAAAAAGAAAAAAAAGAAAAGACAAAAAGAAAGCAAGTACTTTTGGTGGATTAATACAGGAGAAATAAGCCTAAAGTTTTCTAAGAGTAAACAAAAAATTATGCTTTATGCTCTTTAATCCCCCTTCCTCCCCTTGTCCCTTTGTATACCGTTTTATCCATTCAGTTCAGGACAGTCCTGCCCTGAATGCTTTTGCCAGTTGCATCACCTTTTAATGTTCCTTCTGTACATTTGCAACTACTTTGGAGCTGTAGCTCCTTTTATGTCACTCACCCAATATTTAGAATTTGTAGTTTCCTCAGATAATTGGCCATCTTGACAAGAAGAGTGACACAATCACCTGTCAGATACTTTTCACTCCTGACTTCCATGCCAAAACTGACATGTGGATATTGGGATAATAATGTGTTATCTTAATTAGGTGTATCTTCATGATGCATGCTTTATAACAGATAGAGCATATGAAACTACTGCAATTCCTTGCCAGGGTATCTTTGAAATGAGATTCCCTACTTAAGAGTTTTCCTCCTTCTTAAATAAATAAAGAGTAAACGAACAATTGCAGAGTCCAAGTCTGAATCCTAGCACTTCCTGTTAAACCTCACAAAATAGTGCAAGAAACATGTTTGGTCTGCTTTCTAGGGCTTGATGATGTGATAGAAAGGATGTTTTATGTAACATCAAAGAATGATGTTGTTATACCTCTGAAGCCTGACTTCTGGAAATCCAAGTGAAATAATGTATGTTCATTTTTCTCCAGAATATGGCAGTTTTTAATAGGCTTGGAATCTTATCAGAAATGTTCCAACGATTTCCTTCATTGTGTTTGTGTGTGCTTTTTTTTGACTATCCAAATTTCTCTCACACTTTTCAAAGTTTTGTTAAGTGACTCCCTGCTGGGTTTAGTTAAGAGCGGTGCCGAGCAAACTGCAAGCTGCCAAAACCAGCCAACAAACCACCAGTGATGAGCAAATGTTTCTGCTCTTTCAGCTCATGGTGAATGTTACTGTTTTCTCAATTCCAGCATCATGTTCAAGTGGAAAATGGTGCAGTCTGGACTACAGACAGACCTGAACAGTGTTTTGGACCTGAGCATACAGAGTCTGGCTGAGGATCAGGGTGGATCATAACTTTCACACTTGCTGTGTATATATGTTAGGATTAAAGTCTTGGGAGTATTCCTGGCCCAGTGATCATTCTTGAAGTAGACTTCTTGGAACTGTCCACGATGATCTCGGACCAGAATTTAGATCTGTGTATTTATGTCCCTTAGAATGATTACAGACCTTTTTTGTGAAACACTGTAGATATGAACCTTTAGAGTCCCACAAAACAAAGTGTGTAAATATGTAATGTGTGTGTAATGTGTAAAAGGCAATTCATAGGGAATGACTGGATTAGTTTCTTCTCTACACCCTCCTGCTGCATTGAACACATTCTGAATATATTGTGTTTTTCTCTGTTTCCTCCTCCAAATGTAGTCTGAATGGAATAGGTTTTGCCTGTAGTAGCATGTCTTTTTAGTGTGTTCTCACCATTGTCCTCAAAACCAAGTCCATTAATTGTCTATGCTACATGCCCATGTGCTGGCATGCATGTGGTGGGAGGTTTAGGGAAGATCAGTGACTTTCCCAGGAGGGGAGATGTGAGCCCAGGGCAAAGTGTTTGCTCAGCCATTAGCTCTGCTGCAGTGTTGCACTCATCTTAGTAATGTGAAAGAGAGTCTATTAAAACCAAAGCCAGTCAGATATTAAATTGAGACAACTAAAATTTCAATAGTTAGGAAGAATACCCAGTTCCTTCTTTGTCCTGTGAATGGGATGTGCTTTAAAGTTGGGAGCAGGTGACAGACTCCTAGTGTTTCTGGCTGTGCCACAAATTTCCTTCAGAACTGATGTTTTTCCACAGCTTATTGTTGCACAGGCATACTTATTTAAAAAAATCCCTTACAGAACCTTAGATGAGAGTCCAAAGTCATTGAAAAAATGCAGATTTCAAGACTGCATAGTAAAACAGCTGACCATTTCAGGAGAAAGGGGTCTTCTCTCCAATGTTAACTTGGGGGAGGTAGAGGTGATAGAATAGTTTTCTTCAAATGTGTGCTCCAAATCTGTACAAAAATGCAGAGGTAGATTCTCACAGAATACCTTGTTTTTAATGGCATTTCATAATAAACCACTTGAACCTAGTTCTTCCATATCCAGTCCTTAGGTTCTTTTGGATCAGGCAGGCATATTTTCTTATAATCATAGAGTCATGGAATCATTAAAGTTCCTAAAGACCTCCGTGTAAATTTTCTGCTGTGGAGTGCTTACAACATCTTGAAGCAGACTAATCTTTCCTAGGAGACATTTATGTTAAAACTACTAAATCCCTATCACATATTTTGGTTTGAATAAGACAATATTTTTGGACACAGAAAAATTCAGTTGAAAAATTCCCAGCTCATACTTGGTGATCCAGTCACAAAAGCCACTTAGTATGTCATTCATATTTTTTCTGATGCCCTAATGAAGATTAGGTGTCTCTTCTCATCTGAGTTCATCAAGCACATAATTTAGCAGTGTGTTGCACAACTTTGTACTTCTGAATTAACTCCTAGCTCCTAGTTGTAATCACAGAATAGGGCTAGCACAATGCTAAGTATGCTACAAACCAAAAAGGTTCGTGGGGGTCTCCAAGGTGTCTGTAATCAAAATATAAGACAAAGCTGAGAACTGGATAGTATGAATGGAGTGCGTGCATGTGTGTGTGAGTGCAGCAAACACTAAGATAAAAATGGAAATTTTAAATATATTGCTTGTCAAGGCTTTATCTGTGTAATGTAGAAAGGTAGAACTCTGAAGAGAGGTTTGAAATTATACAATAACTTATAAAGATTTCCATTTTAACATTACTAAGTTAGCAATAATATTAGATGTCAATTCTAGAGTACAGTACTGTGAACAAAGGTTTCACTGAGGATTTAAAATAGGACATAATTTTTTGGCAGATCTTGTTTTAATGTAGATGTTAGGAAGGATGAGGGAAGCAACAACAGTCTACCTAATTGTATGTAGATAATTGTATTTACTTATTACAGGTATTGTCTTGTTGGGTGCAAACTAGACACTTCATGAGCTGGTCGTGCTAAGGACAAGGTCAAGGAGAAGTTAGGAATGTAGGATAGATGATTTTTTAAATCTAACATACCAAACCTAAATCAGAAAACATCTGTGTGATGCTGCTGCTGATGGATATTTAGGAAAGTCAAATGTGTGGTCAGACCACTAATACTTTAGTATCAGAGAATATCTCAAGATGGAAGGGACCCATAAGGATTATCAAGTCCAATTCCCTGTTCCTCTCAGGGCTACCTAAAAATGAACAATATGGTTAAGTGCATCTTCCGAATGCTCTTGAACTCTGCCATGACCACTTCCCTTGGCAGCCTGTTCCAGTGACCAAACACTTTTTCAGGGAAGAATCTTTTCCTAATTCTCCTGATGTAGCTTCATTCCATTTCCTCATGTCCTACTGCTGGCCATCACAGAGCAGATCAGCACCTCCTGCTTCGCTGCTGTCCTTATGGAAGTTGTAGACTATAATGGGTCCATGCCTCAGCCTTCTTTTGTCCAAGCTAAACAAAACAAGCAGCCTCAGCCACTGCCCTACATCTTGTCCTTGAGGCCTTTTACCGTACTGGTTGCCCTCCCCTGGACACACTCCAACAGTTTGATGTCCTTCTTATATCAAGGAACCAAACCTACACACAGTACTGGTGGTGTCATCATATCTCTGATGCTAAAGCATTGTGTACTTGCTGTTTAAAATTTGCCCATTGTAATAAATGTAGTCCATCTGCTCTAACTTTGGGTTAAGGCTGTGCATGCTCCTGGAGAAGAAGCACATCTTTGAACAGGAGACAAATGGTGAGTCTTTCTCCCCATCTCATCTGCTCTCCTATGAGAAGGTAACCTCTTTCCTTTCAGTTCTTTCCTTGTTTAATAAGCATATTTGGGTGATTTAGGATTAGTACACCATGAATGAAGAGATTATGTAACATATGTGGTTGAGATAAAGAAGTGATCAGGTGCAATTTAAATTTAAGGATGACCAGAGACCTTACAGGGACAGATCTCATAAAATATAATGCCACTAAGAGTCTGGAAGTTGTGCAAGACTGCTGGTAAAGAATTTCTTTGCTCAGATAGGCCATTCCAGTCTTCTCTTTCTCAAATTCTCTACGGATAGCAGAATTGTTATAATATTTAATTCAGTATGAGATAGCACCTCTCTGAATGATGATTATTTATAAAAGCTTTCAAATTTGAAAAGCATTCTTCCCCTTGATAGGTGACTAAAGGATTTTTTAGGAATAGTAAACATTAAGCATAGTGGAAGAAAATTGTGAGTTACTAAGGAAAGATTAGTAATGCAGTTTTAGGAATTTATACAGGCCCAACTGGAAAGTCATCATGTATTACTGAAATTTGGTCTGCACATGGGAATGTGGCTGGCAAAATAATGTTAAGAAGGAGCAGGGCAGTTATGTGTGATGAGGCGGCAGTACATAAATAGCGTATACTCATTTTTATATTTATTTATACAAATAGGTATTCCTGTGGAAAATGGCTGAAGCTCAGCTGATGGCTGATACCAGTTCTGCTGCATTTTTCTGCACTATGCTATCATGTAATTACCATTTAGTGCATGAATTTCAACAGCATTAAAAACCTCACCCCTGAGCCAATACAACTGACATTGTCTTAATAGAGATAGAGTTACAGTAAAGGAAAACAAAAATTTGAAACTAAAGAGTGCTCTAATTTCAGCTGCTAATTTAAGTCTTACTGGCAAAAGCATTTATAAAGTTTGGACAAGTTCTGCTGCTGTAGCTCTGCTAAGAGTCTTTTTGTTAGGAGCCAAACCGGGAATCTTTTGAACCTTGGGTTCTAATATGCTGCATAGAAGTAAAGAGAAATGTGTTCTTGCCTTTTTCAGATAACAGTGGAGAAGCTGCCCAATCTGTCGCACCCAACCATGCTGCTGAATTGCTGCACTACAGATCCCTGGTATCAGCAACTCTTCATCAATCTGGTAAGACTGAAGCCAACTCTAAAAACAAACATTTCCTCCATGAACAATGTGTTTGTTATATTTTCTCATTTGTTTATGATGGCTGTGTCAGCTGCACTGATTTACATAAACACTGCCAATCCTGGGACGTTACATTCTCAACAAAAGTAGCTGAGTACAAACAGCATTCCGAAGTTTTAATTCATATTGTATAAACATAACAGATGTTGATAAAATGAGCCAAAAAGAAAATACAACAAAGGAGACCATTTCAAGGGGGCTTTTGATTAAAATACATTCCAGATTGACAAAATGATACAATGTTAATGGAATAGATCATTTAAATGTCATTATTTGGCTCTTATAGTCCTATAAAGCAAATATAAAGCAACACTTTTGAGATTTAGACTCCATTACAGTACAGTGCCTATACATCAACTTATAAATAAAACTATATTTCTTTTCCTTTCCTTTTTTTTTTAAAATCCCTGCTATGACATCGCCACATTTATTTCCTAAATACTGTACTAAAATACTGTGTCCAAAAGCAATAATAAGTTTGGTATACAGAGTAAGCCTAAAATAAATACATTATAAACAAAATAAATGCAGTTTCTGCCTCAGTGAATTTCCAGTCATTGAAACTGAGATGGGCGACACTGAGAAGTCCAGGTCAGAGGCCTAATTCAGTCGGGTTTTCTTTAAAAAGATGTAAAAATCTGCTCTCCTTTATTCATGTGTAAAGATGATGACACTTCATTTGAGATCCATCCGGTCTAAATCCCTTGCTTTGAGAATAGCTAGAAGGAGAGAAGATTTACAAAACCCACAATACTCCTAATATACATTATCTAGTTTGGTTTAAGAGTTTCCTTTTAATAGATGAGAAACTGCAGTGAAGAGAGGACAAATGGCTTTCCAAAGTTCAAGAGGAGGTCATACATAGAAGTAGAAGCCAGCTCAAGCTGAGGCCCAGTCCAATGCTTGTGCCATTGGGCCACACAACTTTTTTATTGTGGGAAACCTATGGAACTTAATTACATTTCATATTGGTACCTGATATGATCCCCAAAGCAACAAAGCTCAGTATTCCTTTCAACAAATTGTTATTACCACTCATGAAAGCTCAGTTTCTGATATCCACATAAATAGCCATTGTGAATTTCCTGGGTACAAGGATTTCCCATGTTGGTGATTTTCACAGCAAAATTATATGTTGTATAGAAAGAGGAAACCTCTTTACTTTTGTTTTCTTCCTTATGTCTTTGAATGTCTTGTATGTTCTGTAAATGAGAGAGGGAAAAGGGATGTGCCCTTCTATGCTGTGCATTTATTTAAGTTGTTTTATCATGTCTTTGTTTCAATCTTCCTCTGTCTGGGGAAGCATACAATTGGGAAGCACAATACACCTTCTTTGACAGAACTGGCCAAGTCACAGGAATAATGCTGTAGAATTATGGGAAAAAAAAAGTCTTAGTAAACAACTACATGCTCTGTAAAGACCAGCTTGGTTGGCAATAAAGTGATCTTTAGCTCTGTTGCTATCAAGAAACCATTAAAGACCTCATAATTTTCAGTCAACAGAGTTTACTACCGTTAGGCCCTCTTCTCACACCCATGTGATTGTTTCTCTTCCTTGAAGCCTATGTTTCTATGTGAATTGATTTTTATAAGCATGTACTACAAAATATTATAGAATGTCATAAATGGTTGTGTAATGAGATAGCAGCAATAAAAATTTTTAAAACTTAATAAACATTGGGGTCACTGACTATTTTCAAGTAAAATCTTAGACCAGAAAAGTCTTACATTTAGAAAATGGACCTCAACTTTGCTTTTCCAGTCTTTAAAATTTGAGTACATTCCAGTCATAATAGTTTACTTAGACTGAACCTTATGGTTTACCAAAAAATTTAAGTTGTTCTTTTACTATGGTATTTCCTGATGTTTTAGGTATAATTGAGGATGTGGAGCAGGGAGAGAATCCATGTTCTTACTGGATCCTGTAGAACCTGCAGAACCAAGTGCTTGGGGTGATCAGCAGGAAGGACTTGATGCATTTCCTACTGGAGGAAAAATTTCCTACTGGAGGAGAGGCTCAGGCTCCAGCTGGCACCACAGAGCCCTGATACCAGTGAGCAGCCCAGTTCAAGGCCATGCATGCCTTCTTAGGCTTTGTCACTTGTTTTCAAGCCCATGTTCTTCTTCAGAAAAACATAATCAGAGCTTTTCCACTTGATTCCTTCCAGAGAAAACATGCTTAAAAGGTGTAGTAGCTTGACATGAGAGACTGTAGCTCCAGACACGTGTTCCTTCATCTGCTTGGTGACTGCAAAATTCATTAATTTAAATGCTTGTGAGACAACATGAGAATTCACATATTTATGGAAGACATAAGATGGGAAAGCTGGATGTCAAGAATGCTTTTGTCATGCTGTGTCTATGCCTCTCGAAAAATATCACGACCATCAGCAGCAGCTATGTTAGAAAAGCTTTTCAGTGAAGTTTTTCAGTGAGAACTAAATCTTCAGTCTCTGAGTATCTGCCTATTAAAAAGTAAAATGTTTTAGATTTCCTCTTATGATTTTGATGTTTAATTTTGTTCTGTTAAATACCAGAGGGATTCCCACATATTTGGACATTAAAACCAAACATGTATGAAGGAATCCACACTATTAATGTTATATTGAATACCAAGGAAAACTAGTAATAATTTATTAGTTATAAAAACCTGCCAAAATTCCTGAAAGTGAATTTCTGGTATTTGAATCATGCAGCTCTGACTCTCCTATAAATCAAAGATTTGTTGGATGTTATCTAGTTTTCCCTTTAGGAATTTGTCTTTATTACAATGTTGTTTTTGTAGCACCACAGAAAATGCACAGTGGTTTAAAACTGAAGAGTCCAGTTAAAGCATATAACTGGCAGCCCAAAAATGCTCAAAGTCACATGAGACAGGATCTTTAAATGGCCATTTAAAATATGTCAGAAGCAGGATGAGAAATGCTCTGCAAATCATCCATCTAAGAGACACGGACATGGATGTTTATTTAGATCCTGCTACAGTTCATAATCTTTTGCTCATTAGTAGCAGAGTCATTGTCACTACTGAGCCATGCCTTACCTACCTGGAAAATGCCAAGTTCTCTTTGAAGGAATTAGGGTTTGTGTGATAGCAGAACTATCAAGAAACCCCTGGTGATTTCCTCTTAAGACAGTGAGAATATCTTCCCTTGATAATCAAAACTGCTCTTGGGAACATGGTGTGACCCTTGGGTATGGTGCAGTGCAGGGCCGGGAGTTGGACTTGATGATCTTTGTGGGTCCCTTCCAACTGAGCTTATTCTGTGTGACTCTGGGATTCTGAAATCTGAGTAACCTTGCCATGAATTTGCATTTTTGGTTCAAAGCCCATTGCTGATTTCCTTTTCCTTGATTTATTGAGTACACAGAGTATCACCTTTCTAAGACCTGAGTAATGTAATTTTTTTTTGCTTAGCAAGTCTTTGGCTAAATGACTCAGTGCAAATTGTAGTTGGGGTGTAGTTTGCAGCATATGAGAGCTTGAGACAGCCAGGATAACAGTAACTTGTTGCACAACTTTGAACCGGTCACTTAAATGCTTGGCATATCATTTACTCTGCCTTTAAATTTGGAACAGTGATGTGAATCCACCATAAATACTGTGAAGAGTATATGTGTGAAAGATATTATAGGAATAGAAACTATTTATAATAATATTTTGGGCTGTCCAGTTGTAAAAATCATAGTGGGGCTGTTTTTTTTTTACTTTTTTCTTTTAGTAAAGTGTAATTTCTAAGCAAAAGTTCACACAATTTACATGGAACTTCTCATAACTGTGTTGTGAACTGGGTGGGGCATGGCAAACTGCATTTTTCCATACATTATTATGTATCTAGTTTCATTGCTAGATGATGGTTTCTTTGGTTTGGTTTGGTTTTTGTTTTGTTTTTTTGTAATGTATATGTGTTTGTGAGGACACACAAAAGAGAATTCCTCCCAGGACTGAAAGGAGTGGCTCCTTTATATTCTGGACTTCAGTGACAAACTCATCACAATTTATTATAGCCTAATACATACAGGAAAGTATGTACAGATGAAATTGGTAGCAATTAATTTGTCAATAATACGTCATTCTCATGATCCCTATATAGAACAGGTCTCTAAGGAATCACAGTAACAAGTAGCCATATCATTTGACTCTTAAGCACAAGATACTTTTTGTCTGCTTTAGTGTACAGTGAATGTTCAGCTATTTCTTCACATATTTTGAACTAAAGACTAGCTAGAGTAAAGATGCTATTTTATATAAGATACAGTTTATGAATTTTCACATTTTTTTAACCCAAACTTCTGTGACAAATGGCTTCATAACAAAATTCAAGTCTTTGGCATTATTTCTGGCTTTTACTACGTATCTGTATCTTTCATCTCGCTCTCCATGACGATGATGTTTTCCTAACCATTCTTTCCCTCTTAAATGTGTCTTAAAGGACAGGCAGACCGAATTTTAGATCTAGGACTGAAGTACAGTTGTGCAAAATTCTCAATTCAATTACGAAAATTGCCTTCATAATAGAAACACTAAACCATCTATGCATTACATATCCCTATAAGTGAACATAAACTGTTGTGAGAAGTTTTTTCTAGCATGTGGCTTTAACGTATGGTTTTACAGGTATATGCAATATCCATTATGTAACATTGGTCATGTTTTTCCTGTCATGTGACACTTACACACTTTAGAGTTAATTGTCCAGTGTTTTTAAACTGCCTGGTTTATCACACTGGAGAACCTTTCAACATTGTTTCACAACTGATTCCTTCTTACATTTTATAAACAGGATTTTGTCCTTTAATCACAATTATTTGCTGACTATGAACAGAAAAACCTAAAGGAGGGAAGACAGATGAAGAGATTTCTTTCTATCTACTTTATATAAAAATGATAACTTTAAGGATTCAGGGACCAACATTGCTAAAGGTGCTGGTAATATGATATGGTCTATCATACCTCAAGGCTCAGATAGCCTTGAGCCAAAAATTTAAATGCTAATGGCAATGTAGCTGCGCTCTGCAAGAGTAGTGCCTGGAAAATCACTGATGAGGAAGTGCTCCAAAATGTTACTGTTGTCTCTGCTGCCCCTTTTCTATAGCTGCAGCTAACAGAGCTGTCAGTGTACCTCTGGTGATCATGAAATCACTTAATGAAATGAAGTGTAACCAGCTCTCTGCTAAAATAGTGCTTAATTAAGTGTGACCATCAAGTGATGGGAACCATAGTAGTATACAAGGGAATGCTTGTTCATTCCTGAAAGGCCTATTAAAGTAAGAGGAAATATGTGATCGGCACAGTTGTCTGAATGTCTAACATGATATGGCATGGGAATGCCAGCATCAGAGTTCAAACACATGAGGAGTTACAAACCAGAATTATTTACACTATGTGATTGTTATCAATGCCTAGACACTTCTGAGGAGCCAAAAGCAATGAAATGGTTCACTAACTTGCAATATCTCATTAAACTGGTGAATTTTGCTTGGCTGAGACCACAAATCATAGACTCAACATTGTGCCACTGAAGCTACTCCTTACTCCCTGACAGCAGAGAAACGGAGGAATTACCAGCTTCTGTATATTTTATTTTGAAGGGTTACAGAAAGGAATTTGCATTTTTGTGCAGTTTATATTTGCAAAGACCTCTGTAGATGTGAAGTCCCAAAGCTTCTGCTGTGGTGTTGCTATAATTGCCCCTCTTATCTATGCTGGAGCTGAGACGTGAGATATGAAGTAGCCTACTGAGGATTGGAAAGTGAATCTGTGGCAGAGTTAAAAGAACTTCAGACTCCTGACTTCTTGTCTTCTCAGTATTAATCTCTTTCTTGCAAAGTGAACCCAAAAGCTAGCACTAAGAGAAGGCATAGCAAGTTGTGTGACTCCCACATCCTCTCACATTTTGGCAGTTTTTCCACACAGAAGTTTCCAGAGTGATAGGGGTGTCCTTGGTATACAGAGCAAAGCCACCCATACAACAGGGGAGGACTCTAAGGACTGCCTCTGTGGAGCAGGCACTGTAGTCCTGTATAAGTTCACTCTCTCATTGAGAATGCCTCCTGGAAGTCTCCCTAAGACATGCTGGACCAGCACAGCAAAGGATGGGACCACTGCTGAGTCACTGCATTGCACATGAAGAAGGTATGGCTTTCTGTGAAAGCATGAGATGTAAAAACAAACAGGAGTTAGTATCTCTGGCATGTGTGTATATGTATAGATGTGAACATGTGCATGGACATATATGCAGGTAAAAAACCTAACCAAAAGGTAGCTATCATTCATAATTCAGAAGACAGGCAAAGCACTGGACAAAGATACATACTTCCTTTGAGAGAGAGAGAAAAAAAAAAAAGAGGAGGAAACAAATTATGTGTATCTGGAGCTTCATTATCCTACAATTATACAGGTTTCTACCTATAGAAACTTTTTTAATCCTTAAGGGGTAAGCAGTAGGATAGAGATTAGTGTTGGTGCAAGTTAAGGGATGAGAGCAAGTGCCCAAGAGAGCAGTGTCTTGCAGGATATACAAAGAATAAGTATTGCTTTTCTCATATGACATCCACAGCATAGAATATAATCACTGTTCACAAAAATGACTTGACATTTTTTAATCAGCCTGGGCAGATTGTGTCTCTAACAAGGATCTTTCTTGCATCTTGTCTTTAAGGTGAAGAACATCTGAAAACATCAGATCTTTGAACCTAGAAAGCTGAGTTTCACAGAATCACAGAAGAATTTACATAAAAAGGGTCCTCTGGGGGTCATTTAATCCATTCCCCTACTCCAAGGAGGTCCAGCTAGATCAGATAGCTCAGGGCCATGGCTATTCAAGCCCTTTACACCCTCAAAGATGGAAAACCCACATCCCCTACTCCAGTATTTGACTATAATATGGTAATTTTTTTTTTCTTAGGCTTAATTAGAGTTTCCCATGCTATATCATAAGTCCATTGTCTATCATTGGACACATGCAGGAGATTCTGGCTCTGTCTTATCTGTAGCCTAAGGACAGGTAGTTTCTGCAGTCAGGTCTTCTCTGAGCCTCCTCTTCTCCAAGATTAACAGAACTATCTCTCTCTAAGCATCTCCTCCTGTGCTCCAGCCCCCTGATCAGTCTGGTGGCCTGCTGCTGGATTTCCTCCAGTATGTCAATGTTTTTGCTGTACTGCGGAGACTTCTCTTTATCCCCAAACTGACTTGTGCAGGCATCATGCTAATCTACTCTATCATTCAAGTTTTAGCATATATTCTGCCAACAAAAGCATAATTTCATTAGAAGATAAGACAGAACATTCAATTCTTTAAAGGAAGAAACTTGGGGACAATGGAAATGTAAAGCTTTAAACCCATTGATACCTTCCCCTCTATTAAGCAATCTGGTCTTTTTCTCAGCCCACAATTTTCAGTGGCTTCCTGCACTGAAAGAAGTCTTCACAATCCCCTCTCAGCATCCTGAGAGAAGTATTTACATCTACTTGGGCCCTTGGTTGTGATGTCTTCTCTGCTTCTCAGAGCTCTCCTTTCAGCTTCTACTAAAGGCTCCTATTCCTTGCGTGTTTCACCACTGTCAAGATTTGTTCTTCACTCCAGAAACTTTTTCCCTGAGAAGTTGCTCAACTGCTCTTGGAAAAGCACAGTTTCTTCCTCCTTCCCGAAGATGCCCCTTGAGTACAGCCACATTGTTGTCTGCTGTCTCCTGAAAGGAACATAATGTCTATTAGCACAGAGTAGCTCCAAATGAAGAAATTAAGAATTATACAGTCAACATGTTAATAGAAACATCCACAACATTGTTATGAAAAGTTATTCATTAGGGTTTGGCTGTGATTTTGGAAATTACTCAGGGTGGTTTTATAACAGTTAAAACCCGTAAGGTGCTGTGTGTGAGGCTTTGGGGTTTGGACATATTTTTCCACGACTCTTTACATTTGTCAGCAAGAACATACAGCTCTTTTGACAGTAGGACTTGGGTGGGCCGATGGCTGCTGGATGCTGTAATAGGAGGTTGGCAGGACACAGAATGATAAACTTACTTGTCAACAGCTTTTCTGGCTTTCTTAGGACAGACTGAGCTTTGTACCTCTGCAACTTGTTTCCCATGTAGTCCCTGATAATTTTTTTTGTATGGGTTAATTGATTTTGTATTTGCTTGCTGCTGTTATTATGTCTGTCCAACATGGAACCCTTCTCAGCCACAGAAGCTCATTTTGTATCTATGCTTTATTATGTTGCTTCCTTCAGCCAGAAAGAATTCTTCTTAAATTGTTTGCATGTTGGTGGCAACAGAGATTGGAAGACCAAAGAAAATAAAGAAGAGATCCACAGTTGATGTTGAAAATGGGGTCCATCCAGTGTGTGGCACGGAAAAGAAGGCTGCAAGCACCACTAGGGAGATCTCCAGTTGGGTGACTGCAGCATTGCAAGCCAGAAGAGTTTATAGAGCACCTCAAGAGGAAGCAGACCTATGGCTCCATCTGCATTTGGTAAGGCCCTTTCTGTGAAAAGCAAGCTACTGGCAAAGGTGGAAACCAGATCAAGGCAATCTGCAGGGCCCTTTTGGCCCCTGTGTCTGTATTTCCTTCCTATGAGTCCAAATTATTGCGTAGGATTGGTGGTCACTAAAGTTTCCCATGGCATGGATTTGGGATATTGCTAAGACAGGTGCATGTATCATCCTCCTAGAACTATTCTTGGGTACTGCAGGCCAGATACATTTAATGTATCATAATTCATAGTTAATTTGTGGCTCTCTCTTCAGTATTCTGAGCATTTGCTCTTTCTTTCTCATACAGCACCTTTTTATTTCCTATTAGTTGTATATTTGTTGCAATGCAGCTGTATTAACAGCATTTTTCCACAATGAATTTCACCGTTATTTTCTCTCCATGTTCCTGCTCCCTTCTCCTTCCCCTTCCCCTTCCCTTTCCCTTTCCCTTTCCCTTTCCCTTTCCCTTTCCCTTTCCCTTTCCCTTTCCCTTTCCCCTTCCCTTTCCCCTTCCCCTTCCCCTTCCCCTTCCCCTTCTGTTTTCTGTTAGACATTATTCCTTCACCCTTGTTACTGACTGTTTTGTATAAAAATACATTTACTTGCAGAAATTCAGGAAATTTTTCTTGCTTTACTTCACAGCCAGGATGTTGGCATAGAAAATGAATCACTTTTTATCTCCCGTTGTTTTCCCTTGTTCCAAGGTAATTTTCCTAGACTAGTGAAAAGCTTTGAGTGTTCCTGTTTTTCTTTCTAAAACAGAGGGCTCTGAATTGCCATTGCCTGGCACTGCAGGTATGCAGAATGGTTGCATTTCCTGCTCATTCACTGGGCTCAGAATACATCTCGTTAAGGCTACTCAAGGCAAGCTCACAGTTTGCTGGGGGTGAGACGTACCCCAGCAAATGTCACCTTTTTTATTAGAATTTTGTAGACCTGAATGAAGCTGAGTAGAGCCACATAAAAGGTCTCTGCAGAAATAAACAGAGCAGATCAGGGGCTAAGTGCAGTTTTCCTATGTGATATGTATATTTTAATATTAGGCCTGGCATTTTGCAAAATGCTGTTTGAAGTTGTTAATTAGGTTTGCCTGAACAGACCAAAACAGACACAACTAATTGGGTGAGATTATAGCTGTAAGATTGTGACCTCTCACAGTGAAATCTCTCGAAGTATGTTCCTGTGTAGGTCTGTTCTTCCGTGGTATTTTCAGAGGAGGCAGATAAAGACTGCACCATTTTACTGAGACAGCGAGAAATACTTTGGGGAGTATCATCCCTATCTCAAATCCGCTGTTGCTAATGGAAGGTTTCTTTACTGAATACCTGTTTTCATTCTACCTGTATTTTTGACAGGACGAGCACTACCAGGTGACTTTTCAACTTTTTAAGAATAAAGCCCTATAGGAAGCCTTTTTACAGCATCAGTGCATCAATAAGTACGAAATAATTTAATCAAGTCTCCTAGTCCATGCAGTTACTGGCAAACCTGATTCATTTTATGAATAATTTTACTTGGACCTTAGTGAGAAAAATGTTCTTATTAACAGTATGAGCAACAAATTTCCAGACAAAAACATGGAGGAGGAAGAGTATGTATAGACACAGTCTGGGGCGGGGAGGGGGGGATGTGACTTCATCTCACTTCACACGATAAGAGGGTTCAGTTCAGGAGCTGGTAACCAGAGACTTGAAAGGCCAGGCTACAGGAAATGGGGATGGTGAGTCAGGAAATGGCAGCTTTCCCTCCAAGTCATCCTTGAACCACTGCCCTGGTGTGCTCAGAGTGGGAATTGGATTAGTAGAGATGCTGTTCCTTCAGAAGAGATTTCAAACTTGGGTCGTGACCATTTGAAGTTGTGAAGTTTTACGTGCAGTTTCTCCTTAAGAGCATGGACTTCAGCTCCCGCATCTGCTCTGATCCCTTGTGTGGGTGGCTGCCTGTGCTCTGTAGCTGTCCCTCTCTGCAGTGGCAGATATTCCATGCCTCCTGCCTGGCCTGGCTCTCTGTCCTGGTGCTGTGAGCCCTGTCATGCACCCGCCTTGCTTCTTGTCAAAATCACTACATGACTGGTGACCCAGAGCTGTCTTGCAGGGCTGCTAAATAGCTGTATCTTCCTGTTAAGTACACATTACTCTGTAACACTCGATTGGCTTACCAGAGGCAGAAGAGCTAACTGTTAGCGGGCCAACAGCAGTATTTGGTGGTTGCAGGGGTGCTCTCTAGAAGGGTACATGGGGTGAATTCCTTTGTCAAGTATCAAAAGAAGGGGGCCAAGAAGATGGGGCCAGGCAAGACGATGGTGATGTCAAGCAGTAGGACAAGAGGTAATGGGCAGAAACTGAGGCACAGGAAGTTTACCTGAATATGAAGAAGAACTTCTCTACTGTGCAGTGACCGAGCACTGGAACAGATTTCCCAGAGAGGCTTTGGAGTCCCCCTCACTGGAGATACTCCAGAACCATCTGGATGTAATTCTGTGCCATGTGTTCTCGGAAGACCCTGCATGAGCAGGGAGTTCGGACCAGGTCTGGTCCCTTCCAAGTTGATCCATTCTGTGATTCTGTGATTCTGTGTTTCTGTGACTGGGTGGGCAGGCAGCAGCAAGGCTGAGGCCTCTGGTCAGATCCCAGCTGGGAACAGGCACCTCCGCCGGGAACAGGCACCTCAGTTGGGAACAGGCACCTCAGCTGGGAACAGGCACCTCTGCTGTAACGCGCGCCGTGCTCGCACCTCTGAACTCGCCGCTGTTAATTGACAGGACGGGGTTACGCTTTGTACAGAATTACGGCCCAGAGGAGCCGGGGCTGGCGGGAGACCCCCGAGCGAAACGCGCCGACGGGGCGGAAAGGCGCCACCTGCTCCCGTCCCCCGCTCCCGGCAGACGCCCGCCCGCCGCCTCCCGGCGCCTGGGCCTCGGCCCCCCCCCGGGCCCGGAGCTGCCGCCGGCCGCCCGCGGCGGCGCCGGGCGGGCCCCTCGGGCGGGGGCGGCAGCGGCAGCGCCGGCAGCGGCCGCAAGATGCCGCCCTGCCCAACGGCTTGGCGGCCGCTGCTGCCGGCCCGGGCCCCGCGCGGCCGCCCGCGGAGCGCCCTCCCCGCCGCATGGGCCGGGCCCGGCCGCCGCCGTGCCGCCTTCCCGGGGCGCAGTGCACCGCCGTTGTCCGGAGGAGGCACCGTGTCCAGCTCCACTCATGGAACCTCAGAATTGTTAGGGTTGGAAGGGGCCTCCGGAGGGCATCCAGTCGAAACCCTCCTTCAAAGGGAGTGTCCCCTAGAGCAGGTGACACAGGAAGGCGTCCACGTGGCTTTTGAATGTCTCTGGTGAGGGAGACTCCATGACTTCCCTGGGCAGCCTGTTCCAGTGCTCTGCCACCCTAGATGTAAAGAAGGTCACAGAATCACCGAATAAGCTGAGTCGGAAGGGACCCACAAGGACCATCGAGTCCAGTCCCCACCGCTGCACAGCACCATCCCCGAGTTACACCATGTGCTTAAAAGGGTTGTCCAAGCGCTCCTTGAACTGTCAGGCTGGTACTGTGACCACTTCCCTGAAGAGACTGTTCTAATGCCCAAACACTCTGTTGCAGTTTATGGTCATTGTTCATCATCCTGTCACTGTGCACCCCTGAAAAGAGTCTGGTACCATTCTCTTTGCATCTACCTTTGATACATGCATTAATGAGATCTTATCTTAATCTTTGGACTGAACAGACCAGCTCCCACAGTCTCTCCTTGTAAAAGAGGTGCTCCAGACCCCTCATCATCTTGGTGAAATGGTTCCACTGGGCTACAGGCAAGCTGGGGGTGGCTGCTGGTGAGTCTGGGTGAGGCCACTAAATTCACACACTCAGGACCCTGGCACTGGACAGGATTCATCAGGCTTCTTCAGGGAGAGAAGAGCCACCAGCACTGGGATTATTTTATGGTGACAGAGGGATGGGTGCCAGTAACTGAAACCCAAGCTCTCTGATCATTACAGGTGATGATCTCAAATGATTTTTCCTCAAAATAAACCAAAACCATACAGCAAATAACTTGGATGTTGAATTTCAGTATCAATTGACTGTGTTGCCCTTTTGAACCTTGCGTGTTTTGGTTTCCCCTCATTGAGCATTCTCCTTAAAAGAACTAATACATTGCATGGTTTTTGGGAGCAAAACTGTCTGAAGAACACAGCCCTGTGCTTTAACAGCCGGCTGGCTGTGTGCATTCATTGGGGAAAAGTTGAGAGAAGTTAGACCACACTTCCAGACTGGCTCTCAAGGAGGCCAAGGCCACTGAGATTTTGGGATTATTCATATTTCAAAGCCAGTTTGAAATACAAAATTGTTTAGAGGCTAAAAGGAATGTAAACAATTGTCACATGTAGTTGTTGGGGATTTTTCATGAAAGAGGTTTGTATTACTTAAAAGTTGCTTACAACTGCTAATTTAGCATCTGCGTGGAATGCTGTGTTGTCTGGACTGCTGCTGTATTTGCAATCAGAGCAGATAGCAGAAGCACAAGCACTTCCTGCACAGCTTCTTGGCTGTGACCTGGACTGATCCCATGAACAGCAAATCAGGGTGAGCAGTGTTGGACTTGGATGCTTTCTTCTGTTATTGCTGGTGGGTTAACCTAGCAAAACTGCTTGGCTACTCTGCTGAGGTTGCCACATAGTTCCAGCTATACTGTAAACATCTGTCTGCCAACTTACTGAAGCCACTGTGTTCGTTATGTGTGGGCTACTGAACAGCTGTCAGATGGGAATGACTCGGGTTATCCCATGTCTTAACCAATGTTCTGGATTCAAGAGGTTCTGAATGCCTTTATCCTTGCCTGACTT